TTGACATCTTTTACTCTTCAATACTTTAAAAAGGTCTTGTGCAGTAAGTAGATTTGCCTGATGCAATACATAGTTTGGTTTCTTGACTACTGCTTCCATGAGTGATGATAGTTGATCTAAGAAGAATAAAGTCATGACAACTTCAATCTTTTCTCCATTGATAAGAATGTTGTTTACTGGTCCAGTGGTGAGGATTTTTGTTTTCTTTACACTGAGATGTAATCCATACCGAAGGATGTGCTCATTGATCTTCATCAGTAAATGTTTTAAGTCCTCTTCACTTTCAGCAAGCAAGGTTGTAGCATCTGCATATTGCAAGTTATTAATGAGTCTTCCTCCAATCCTATGCCACGTTTTTCTTCACATAATCCAGCTTCTCGGATTATTTGTTCAGCATACAGGTTGAATAAGTATGGTGAAAGAATACAACCCTATCACACACCTTTCTTAATTTTAAACCATTTAGTGTTCCCATGTTCTGTTTGAACAACTGCCTCTTGGTCCAGGTACAGATTCCTCATGAGAACTATTAAGTATTCACAAACACTCATACTTAGCAATTTTGTCCATAGCTTGTCATGATACACACAATCGAAAGCCTTTGCGCAGTCATTAAAGCGCAGGTAAACGTCTTTCTGATATTCTCTGCTTTCGGCCAAGATCCACCAGATATCAGCAATGATATGGCTCCTTCCACTGCCTTACGGCCTCTTCTGAATCCAGCTTGAACCTCTGGAAGTTCTCTGTCAATGTATGCTTTCTGCTATTATTGTATTACCTTTATTAAAACTTTACTCTCACGGGATATCAAAGATATTGTCTGATGATTTCCGCATTCCTAAAGTACTAAAGAGCCGAATATTCAACCAATCCACCATGATGGAAAAACAAACCGAGTCCAATTTTAAAGTATATCAGAAGGGGACAAGTGTGACATTTACACTATTTACTACATCCATACAGACTGTGGAATAAAGCAATCCCATTACTCTGCAATACGTCCCAGTGTTCCAGCAATTCCCGGCAACCTTTAATTAAAAATAAAACGCAACCTCAGTTGAAAGCATTAACGATGATAATGATCACCTGCCTTGTTCCCTTTGAACCCAAGAAAGTGTAATTAAAAGAAGTTCAGTGGAGTGAGTGGGGCAGGAGGCGAGAAAGGGAAAGAAAAGCAAAAACGGGAGCGCAGATAATGAGTTTTTAAGCTTTTAAAATGTTATTTCTAAAATCAATTCTAGGTCTTCGATATAAACCATGACAAAAGGGAGATGGGAGTTGGTTGGGAGTCATCCTTCAGAAGGAGATCTAAAGGCTGAGACGCGTGTCACCCACCCAGGGTTCGATCGCGCCTCCCTACACGTCCAGAAAACTATCTTCGGAGCACATCGTGGAGCCTACCCCAACGACAGTTCGGGGGCAGGACAGGTCCCCTCTGCCAGACCACGACGGTCGCTGCGCACAGCCGGCGCCGCGACCTTCCCAGCCCCACACCCTCCCCGGCTGATGCAACACATACAGATCGGCGGTCTCGGCGCCTTACCCAGGGGAGGATCTCCCGTATTCACGGTCAAGCAGAGTGTCGCCATAGCCTCTGCCGGTCTAGCTGGCTGTCGGCCTGCTTAGCAGTCGGAACCACTTAGAATTTGCTGAAAACGAGAAGATGCAATGTGTGCGCGCGTACGAAACTATAGGGGCATTGGACACGCCCCCTCACCCCAATCTCTACCGTCATTGGTCATGCGACAAGACATCACAGCCGCGCGACTGCATTTTCCCACACACCGCCGTATACTTCGCTGTAGGTGGAGTAACAAGTTCGGCTGGGACCCTTTATGGCCAACGTGGAAAAAAAACACTCACGAGAACCGGACTTTGTGACAGCCGGTAAAGAGAGGAAACCGGCTGCCATATATTGATGGCGGCTCATAGTGACCATGTTGTTGTTGTGTGCCGTGGAGTCGGTTCCGACTCATAGCGACCCTATACAGGTTTTCCGAGGCTGTAAATCTTTACGGGAGCAGAAAGCCTCATCTTTCTTCC